AGGCAGGCTCGGAAACAGGCAGACGAGTCAGGCATGGGTCAGGCAGGTTCAGAATCAGGCAGAAAGAAGGCAGGTCGGATAATCGGGCAGACAGGATACAGGAATTGCTGGAAGTTCTCTCCAAGGCTGGAGACGTTCTGGCACTGGAGGCTGGCTGAGACGGGTCTTAAGTGTAGGTGGAAACAGGTGGAAACAATGATGGTTGATTGCCGAGTGTGGATGCTGATCAGGAGTGCAGATGGTAGGTGGAGCCAGCTTCAGTGCCAGGAACGTTACAGTTAAAGCATCCTTTTACATGTAGAACACCTTTCCCATGAGGAAGGGCAGTTTTAAAAGAGAAGAACTGGAAATATTGCGCCCCCTTGAGACAGGAGTTGGACTGGTTCTACCTCTGTGTAGAACAGTGGAGCTGCAGGTTCTTTCTATGTTAACCCCAATGATGTGTTTATAAACATAAATATTTTGGCGCCAGATATGCATACTGGAGCTTAAGACAGCAGCTACCCACTTCATTACCATATCAAAATGTGTTTACTTTTAAATCTGGTGCATTGTGACTGGGATCAGATAATAATAAAGGGACTACAGTATTTTCTGCACTATAAGGCGCACCATTTTATAAGGCGCATAGAGCAGAAGCTCCAGTAGCTGTTGGGCTGCGTTAGCATCCACTAGAAGCAGCTACGCTAACGGGAATGCCAACAAAAAAGTCAGATAAGTCAGTCAAACTTTACTTTGTTCATTCCCAAAATGAATAAACAGCGGTTTTATTATTTTTCCCGCGCTAATGTCAGTGACGTAGTGAAGTTTTCCTCTATTCAGGTAAAAGAAGAAGTCTGATATGTTACGGTAAATCACAATCACGATATATAGCAGATAGCTTAAAGCTCACGTGAAAAAATAAATAAATAAAAAATGCCGGTATAGAACTATTTGAACTACCTGTTGTCGTAGTTAGGATCAGATTCAACGTTTACCTTTAATGTCCACATTTTTTTAAAAGCTTCCTTCTCTTACTGTGTCAACTTTTAAATGGGGGACCTACAGATATGGACATTGTGCAGTACTCCAGAATCCCCAGAAGGTGGCGCCTCTTCACCACACATGCACCTTGCACTGCTCCTTTTACTATTCTAGAAAATGTATTCATTGATTTTTGAGAATATTTAAGCTTTAAGGTGCCTTATAATGCGGAAAATACGGTATATACAGTCAAACTATTAAATAAATAAATGCAAAATATGTTTTATCATTACCATGTTAAGAATGATCAGATAAATTCAGATTATAATTATTTTTCTGTGTTTCATTGCAAGCAACAACTTCCAGTCGGGGAGGAGAGTTTGCAGAGCCATCAACGGCCGTCATCATGGCCGCCCTGCTGACCGCTTTGGTCCAGATGCTGCAAAAAGAAGCCTGAAGGACCACATCCACAGTTTTCCCATTACTGTCTTTAGTTGTAATTCACCTGTCGTTTACTTTCCATGCAAAAGCTCACTTTCTGCTACTGTTGGTTCACTTTCTGTAACTTTGTCAGATTGATGAAAACTGTAACTTTGTGTAGATAAAAGCGTCTGCTAAATGCATAAATATAAACATAAATCAGAAATCATGTTGCTGTGCAGGGATGTATCACTATTTGAACCGTGCTTTTGATGAAAATCTACTTGTAAATTAAATCATTTAATTGTATATTATTTTCATCATGTTAAAAAAACATGCTTACTCATTTTAAAAAGATTAGAAATAGCATATGTTAGCCATGATTGTAACACAATATATAAAGATAGTGGCTACATTTGAAAACTCTGCACCCCCCCCCCGCCACTAACACACAAACAGAACTGAGTTCCATAACTCACTCTGAGGACCTGGTTTGTGATCCGTCTTTCTACCATAAACTAAAAAGGTGATGTGACAATTCCTTTGACCTTATCACTGGTGTCATTTTTCCAGAAGGTAACATTTATTATTTATCATCATTGATCAGACTTAAAGTATGAAAATGCCTAAACCCATCCTTCTTAAGTTTTCCCTTTAAGAAGGACGACTGGTGATAATAGATTATCTGTGAGAACATATACAGGATAAAGACTAATGTCAATCCTCAGCATTGGCGTCTATACGTATATGTACAAACACACATATGGATGTGAAAGTCTGTAAAGAGGAAGTACAGCTTCACCTTTATATCCTAAAAGGTTTAGAGCCGCAAAGACAAGAGCTCAATTTGAAGAGTTTTTGTTCTGGAAAATTGCCCAAAAATAAGGCCGACATTGTTGAAAAGCTGGAGGCTGGTCCAGGTTTTTGGTAATCTCTGTATGAAAGTGCTTGTGTGCGTTTGTGTGGGTAAGCAGAAGGAACGTTCTCATGATTCGTCTCTCCATGTGCACCTTAAAACTATTCATCCGGTAAACCCAGTTAATCCCAGTTCAACCAGCCGAGTAATGAACCTGCACAACTGAATATTCATGGAATCTTTAAGCATTACCTGCTGCTTTCACAATGTTTTCTGAGAATAAACAGCAAAAAATGGTCCTGGTCATCAAACTGAAACAGACATTTTTAGTAGTTTAGTTTAGTTTAGTTTTATTAGGATCCCCATTAGCTGCCTAATAAATGGCCACTAGTCTTCCTGGGGTCCTCACATGAAGAAATTATATTACATTATAAACAGATCATAAAAAATAAAAATCACAGTAGGAAATAATAAAAACATAAACAAGAGTATATATATATATACATATACACACAGGTCAGTTCATGTTATCATTTGCAGTAGTTCTGAAGACACAATATTTTCTAAGCTTGTTCTGTTCTGAACTGTTCGTGTGGTTATTGGCAATTGGTTCCAGTGAAATATGGCTCTATAATGGACTGTGGATTTTAGAGAGTTTTTAGTAGTTGATAATAAGAACCTGCAAATATCATAAAATTGGTGGTGACTGGCATGCTGATTTAAAGGTGAGCTGCCCCCCAAAAAAAGCCACAAACCAGAAATAAAACCTAGTGTTGACCATTTTTTGCAGAAAAATGCTCTGCAAACAACAGGTTTTAAGCCTGTAGGATTCCAGTGGGAGACGGCCACCTTAAACCCTGCCAAAACCTAGATTTCTACAAAGAAATGTCTCCAGTTCAAAGGGTTCAACCATCATCTAAAAGAATTTTAACAGTGACCTAGGTCAAAGATGGACCCGTCTAAACCTTTAGAAAACCCTTCAAAGGGTTTCCAGGAGAAGGGTTTCAGAGTGCCTCTGAAAGGAGTGTCGGTAAGTATGGTCGATACCGTCTACCATAAAGCAGAAATGTTCCCACATTAAACACTGAAATGAGAAATAATTCCACCGTCTTTGACTGTTATTTGAGGGAAATTATAACAATAGAGTCAAATCAAATTTTAGACCGATCTAATATCTATCGTTGTTTTAATAAGGTCACCATTCTTAAATGGTTTAGCAGACAGACGGCATCTTAAAATCCAATCAACAAACTGATTCATTCAATTAGAAAATGGCCATCAGAAAAAGGTCATTACACTGTCATTTTTGGACTTTTTTCAGAGGCTTCCAACAAAGGTGCAGCGAGTTCATTGACCCTTTACAGGCCGGCCAAATATTTAGACCAATGAAAACCGGTCGGAGAGAGTGTTTCCACTGCCTATTTGTGATTATCTAATTAAGAGTTCTAACAGACAAGTGCAGCCTTTATGTTTTTGGCTTTTTAAAGTTAGTGGATGCTGCTCAAAACCCGGAGCAATGCATTAGGTCTGTGAAAGCTGCCCCTTTAGTAGGGAATAGCATCTCTACAGGTTTTAGGTGTCACGCCACACAGGGAGCTCATTTTTTATTTGGCTCCAGCCCTCTCTCTGGGTGTGGATGAACACATTTCTCAAGCATCTGAGACAGGTGTGGCTGACAGGTGTTCTTACGGGTGCGCAATTAATGCTTAAAATAGCCTTTCCATCGCCCTTATTGGGAAGTGTTTTGATTTTCTCCCTGAGCACTTATTCAAGCAGCCAAGTGTAAAGGGTTAGGGTTAGGGTTAGGATGTAAAAGTCAGATTTAAACCACTGCTGCTCTGTGGGGATGAAACTATGACCGTGTCTCTCCTGATGAAGCTCCCATGGCTCTTCTGTGTCATTCAGTTCTGGACTAGGGACGTCCCCATCCAGCTTTTTGCCCTTCCAATCCGATACCGATCCGGCCTATCAGAGCATGTACTAAATTCTAAAGTTATTTATCTACTTACCTAGTTGTCAGACTCATGTTGAACAGGGATTTACTCTGATAAACACTTAATGGTTAGGACACAGACCTGTGGTTACAGATGCTAAGGCTCTGATAACAACTTAATGGTTAGGACACAGACTTGTGGTTACAGATGCTAATGCTAATGCTCTGATAACAACTTAATGGTTAGGACACAGACCTGTAAGTTACAGATGCTAATGCTAATGATCTGATAACAACTTAATGGTTAGGACACAGA